TTGAATTAGCACTACAAAAAGTAATTTCCCCTCTGTTGATATTCACCCCTTCTTGTCAACTGCTGAGAATGGGCCACATCCACCCTAATTGAATTGGCCTCGTTAGCACTGACCCCCCCCACTTGGTAAGGCAACTCCCATCTTTTCATGTGCTGTATATTTATACCTGCCTACTGTATTTTCCACTCCATTCATCTGATGAAGTGGGTTATATTCCCACAAAAGCTTATGCCCAAATACATTTGTTAGTCTATAAGGTGCCACAAGGACTCCTCATTGTTTTCACTGATACAAACACCGCTATCCCTCTGAAACAATATAATCACGCCAGTTTCAATTATTTTGGTAATTTATTTCAAAATACTAGTCAGCAAGTTTGTCTGTAACAATACAGACAACAAAAAAGATTCAGGAAATGTTTTTGACAAATAGATCCTTACTAGGCATATTAATACAGAACTTTGAGTCACAATTCCTTTAAACTACAATACAGAACCGTATTGCCCGCACCCCTCAGAAGCAGTGCAAAGGCTTGGGGGAGTCAGGGGTAACAGAGGAGCTGAGGGAGAGGGAAGTAACTGCTGGGAAGGAGCCTGGGAGTGAACCTGGAGGGAGGTTGGGTATGAAAGGGAGAAATATGGAACTCTTTTTTGAGGGAGAGGAAGGGTTGTTGGGGAGCCTCCCCCATGCAGACGCTGGCTGACCCCTAGCCTCTCCCATTCAGTCAGGCACTCCCCTTCCCCAGGCACCCCCACTCGCATCCTTCTGAACCCCAGTCTGTGACCCCCCCAGCAGCCCTATGTGCCCCATTCTGTGTCCCCCCCATGTCTCTTCACCTGCCCCCTCCTCCCCCCCAGGCAGGGCACTGTAAGGAACGCAGCCTCTTCTCCTCTCCATTGGCTGCTACAGTGAGCCATCTGCTGTTCTGGTGCCACGGCAGCCCCTGGCGGCCAAAAGGCATAACTGCAGTGCCTCTCCGGCAGAAAGTATTTTCTGTGGAGGAAAAAAAATCTGCAGGCGACATGAATTGGGAGCATGTGCAGTGGTGCAGAATTCCCCCCCGGAGTAAGTGTGTACTCCCATAGTCAGTCATTGCCTCAATCGCAGGGCCAGGCTTAAGGAGCTTGGAGCACCTTTGAATTCACTTGAGTAGCTAATGGAGGGACAAGGGAGAGGTTGTGTTTCTGATGCCTCAGACTTTGCAGGCATATTTTTAGGGCCTACTTTTACTCTGCATCTCACAGGCTTTTTCCAAAATAAAGGATTTAAAAATACGCCTGATTGCTGTCAACTCGAGTTTCTTAAGGTATCTTGGAACGAGCTACACAAACTTACTGAGCAAGCTCTGCCTTCGTCAGGGACACTGAGGCTGTTATACATAGAGAGTGCAGGAAACTTATGTTATGCAATCCAGACAATCCAGGAAGTGTTTGGAGAGTGTTGGGGACAATTTCCTAGTGCAAGTGCCGGAAGAACCAGCTAGGGGCCATGCTCCTCTTGATCTGCTGCTCACAAACAGGGAAGAATTGGTAGGGGAAGTAGAAGTGGGTCACTGGGCAGCAGTGACCATGAGATGGTCGAGTTCAGGATCTTGACAAAAGGAAGAAAGGAGAGCAGCAGCATACGGACCCTGGACTTCAGAAAAACTGATGGGCAGGATCCCCTGGGAGGCTAATATGAGGGGGAAAAGAGTCCAGGAGAGCTGGCTGTATTATAAAGAATTCTTATTGAGGGCGCAGGAATAAACCATCCTGATGTGCAGAAAGAATAGCAAATATGGCAGGTGACCAGCTTGACTTAACAGAGAAATCTTTGGTGAGCTTAAACACAAAAAGGAAGCTTACAAGAAGTGGAAACTTTGACACATGGCTAGGGAGGAGTATAAAAATATTGCTCGAGCATGCAGGGGTGTAATCAGGAAGGCCAAAGCACAATTGGAGTTGCAGCTAGCAAGGGATGTGAAGGGTAACAAGAAAGGTTTCTACAGGTATGTTAGCAACAAGAAGGTGGTCAAGGAAAGTGTGGGACTTTTACTGAATGGGAGAGACAACCTTGTGACGATGTGGAAAAAGCTGAAGTACTCAATGCGTTGTTGTTGTTTTTTTTTTTTTTTTTTTTTGCCTCAGTCTTCACAGACAAGGTCAGCTCCCAGACTGCTGCACTGGGCAGCACAATATGGGGAGGAGGTGAGCAGCCCTCAGTGGTGAAAGAACAGGTTAAGGACTATTTAGAAAAGCTGGACATACAGAAGTCCATAGGGCCGGATGCAATGCATCCGAGGGTGCTGAGGTAGTTGGCTGATGTGATTGCAGAGCCATTGGCCATTATCTTTTGAAAACTCATGGTGATCAGGGGAGGTCCCAGACGATTGGAAAAAGGCAAATATAGTGCCCATCTTTAAAAAGGGAAGAAGGAGAGCCCGGGGAACTACAGGCCAGTCAACCTCACCAGTCCCCAGAAAAATCATGGAGCAGGTCCTCAAGGAATCCATTCTGAAGCACTTGGAGGAGAGGAAGGTGATCAGGAACAGTCAACATGGATTGACCAAGGACAAGTCATTCCTGACCAACCTGATTGTCTTCTATGATGAGATAACTGGCTCTATGGGTAAAGGGGTGGATGTGATATATCTTGACTTTAGCAAAGCTTTTGATATGGTCTCCCACAGTATTCTTGCCAGCAAGTTAAAGTAGTATGGATTGGATGGATGGACTAAAAGTGGATAGAAAGCTGGCTAGATCGTTGGGCTCAATGGGTAGTGATCAACAGCTCGACGTCTAGTGGGCAGCCGGTATCAGAGTGCCCCAGGGGTCGGTCCTGGGGCTGGTTTTGTTCAACATCTTCATTAATGATCTGCAGGATGAGATGGATGTCATCTGTGAACTTGCTGAGGGGAGAGGTAGATACGCTGGAGGGTAGGGATAGGGTCAAGACAAATTGGAGGATTGGGCCAAAAGAAATCTGATGAGCTTCAACAAGGATAAGTGCAGGACTCTGCACTTAGGACGGAAGAATCCCATGCACTGCTACAGGCTGGGGACCGACTGGCTAAGCAGCAGTTCTGCAGAAAAGGACCTGGGGATTACAGTGGCTAAGAAGCTGGATATGAGTCAACAGTGTGCCCTTGTTGCCAAGAAGGCCAATGGCATATTGGGCTGCATTAGTAGGAGCATTGCCAGCAGATCGAGGGAAGTGATTATTCCCCTCTATTCGGCACTGGTGAGGCTACATCGGGAGTATTGCATCCAGTTTTGGGGCCCCCACTACAGAAGGGATGTGGACAAATTGGAGAGAGTCCAGTGGCGGGCAACAAAAATGATCAGGGGGCTGGGACACATGACTTACGAGGAGAGGCTGAGGGCACTGGGCTTATTTAGTCTGCAGAAGAGAAGAGTGAGGGGGGATTTGATAGCAGCCTTCAACTACCTGAAAGGGGGGTCCAAAGAGGATGGAGCTCAGCTGTTCTCAGTGGTGGCAGATGATAAAACAAGGAGCAATGGTCTCAAGTTGCAGTGGGGGAGGTTTAGGTTGGATATTAGGAAACACTATTTCACTAGGAGGGTGGTGAAGCACTGGAATGGGTTACCTAGGGAGGTGGTGGAATCTCCATCCTTAGAGGTTTTTAAGGCCTGGCTTGACAAAGCCCTGGCGGATGATTTAGTTGGGGTTGGTCCTGCTTTGAGCAGGGGGTTGGGCTAGAATACTAGATGAACTCCTGAGGCTGGCAGAGGTAATATAAATATGTATAATCACTTCTCCACGTGGAAGTGCTGTGTATAATATACACTTGAAGGGGGAAAGATTTCAGAACTGCTTGGCACTTGTCTGCCTAGGCTCCCATTGAAGCCAAAGGTGGGAGGAGTTAGCTGAGTGCAGAAGATTCCACCGGTGATACGTTGGGAATTGGGTTTTCTCGCAATAACATGAAACCTCTTCCTAGGAATCCGGTGAGACTCTGCTGAGTTTGTGACTGTGGACGTGAACTAATCCTGACTAGCTATCAATAGGATGATTACCGCACTGTATGGGAGAAATTGCTACTTAGTATTTTGTGACTTGTCTTTCTCAGTGGCATTTCCCTTTGTGGACTTTGGGAAACCTGAATTGCTGCTGAACCATACTGTAAACTTCTATCTCACAACCGAACCGGAGGTCACCATCGGCGTCTGGTGAGTAGACAACCAGATCATTCAGATTCTCATGGACTAGCAGAAGGAAAGTGTTTGAACTGTCATATACCCAGGTGAGGTCTGATGTCTAAGAATTCCAAATCTCAAATTCTATTAGTAGTTGACCTCTGGATACCATGTGGCATGCAATGTAAAAATCTGTCACTACTTAAAGTTTCTAGATTCTCCAGCTAAAACTTTATTCTTACATTCTGCATAAAGCTGTACACTTCAGCGACGAAGCAAAGCAAGAGCTTGCATGTCTCCAGAACTTACTTTGTAGTCGTGAACAATAAAAACAGCAACTGTATCTGGATGCAAAGGGCTTGACTCTTCATTGACCAGTTCTGTGTATGCACCCATACCTACATGCCCGGGGCTAGATAGCCTGCTATTTCGCCACCTGCCCATGTACACCAAGGTGCAGCAGTGCAGGTACAAAGTCCATGTGCACATGGGCGTGGTAGTGAAAATCTGCCTTGAATGTCAAGCTGGGTCAGCTAGCAGTGGTGTGTTGCAGGGCGCGGTGTGCATTGCTCCCTCCATTGGATGTTCAGTATTTCCCCATTATTCCCGTACACTGGCTGCCAGCAGATGTGTCCAAAGCCCTTTGTCTGTCGCAGTGTAGCTGTTCCTGGCTACTGGACTGTGATGATATGTAGCTATTTTTAAAACAGAGAAACGATGCTGCATTATATTCTGCTGAATTAAAAACATAGTAGTTGGTCTAACAGTTGTTTTTTCCTTTGCAAAGGGTATTCCGTGTAGAGTAGTGGACAGAGAAATGGCCGGACTCTACCTAACAAAAGAGGCTGTGCTTGCCTGGTTTTTGAAGACCATTAACTAAATACAGTTATTCATCTTCCCAGTGTCTGATTCATGAAACAGTAGCATGTCTCCTTTGATCAGCAATGGAATATCCAGATGCACTTGAGCAGGCTTGTTAATTACATACTCTTGGTTCTTTTAGGCATGTTTTGCCTGGCAGCAGGGGGATAGAAGCTCAAGGGAAGGATCACAGCTGGTATGAAGAAACTCTTGCAGACGATAATCCCGTTATAATTTATCTCCATGGCAATGGAGGTAACAGGTGATTAACATGAATAATACTACATTTGTAGATTGTTCTACATTATGTTGGGTATATTGTATTGCTCGTGACAGTGACATCTGTTGCTGTCAGCTGAAGGCAGGAATAGTTTGGCAGTAAACTCTGGAAGTCCCCCTCTGCTGACACACTGCTCTTTCACTCTTGTGACCTTTCTTATGGAGAGACAGCAGACTTGTTCCTGACTTTCTGGTGGTTTTATGATGTGGCTTATAATACTGTTTGGTACCCACTCCATCTCAACCACTTCTTATGTCTTCTAGGTTGTAGGTTCTTGGGGCAGGACAATACCTAGCCCAGTGGTTCCACAATAGAAAGGTTTAAGAACAGTTAACTTTCTTCTATAAAGAGAATTCTGTCAATTCAGCATGTCAAACTGAAGTGTCTGCCTGTCCTTTCTCCATTACTGCGCACAACTCCTCCATCCTCCCTCTTTGACTCACCTCTGCATCTACTCCCCACAACACATGCTCACGCCTGCTAGTTCTGTCTGCATGGCCTCTCCCGTTTCCACTGCAAAACTCTATTCCAGGCCTTGATTGTCTCTTGCCTTGATTCCACTTCTCCTTCTGGCCTTCCTGCCAAGCCTTCCAAAATACGACTGTGGTGATCCTTTGCCTGGCCTGATGCTATGACAAAGTTCAGCCTTTCCTAAAATTCCTTCACTTGACTCTCTCTGGTCCTTCCAGAACTGTCAGGCTCCTCCTTCTCACCTTCATGGCCTGCTGCAACTTAGCTCCTTCCTGTCTCCTTTCATTCCCCCCTCCCCTACCCCCCCCCCTTTGCTCAGTCCAAGTTGTTCATTTTGTCCTTCACCTGTGTCTGCCTTGTGCCTTCTCCATTCATGCCTCCCCCTATGCCTGGAGCCTCCTTCCCGACCAAGTCCTGCCCTAACCGGACCTGTAGAACCTACTGATTTCATGGCGAGAGTCAGGTCAGGATTTGCCCCACCTCGTGTATTGCAGTCGTCTGTGTGAGCCCCATCATAGCCAGCCTTGAGGGGCTGTCCTCCGATCCCCTTGGAATGGCTGCAACGTGCGTACTGGGTTGGATTTCTTTTAAACAATGCTCTTTGGCCTGGTCTACACTAGGCTTTTATGTCGAATTTAGCGCCGTTATATCGAATTAACCCTGCACCCGTCCACACCAGGAAGCCATTTAGTTCGACATAGAGCTCTCTTTAAATCGATTTCTGTAATCCTCCCCAACGAGAGGAGTAGCGCTAAATTCGACATGGCCATGTCGAATTAGGCTAGGTGTGGATGGAAATCGACGCTAATAGCTCCGGGAGCTATCCCACAGTGCACCACACTGTTGACGCTCTGGACAGCAGTCCGAGCTCGGATGCTCTGACCAGCCACTCCCCCGGGAAAATTTGAATTCCTTTTCCTGTCTGGGCAGTTTGAATCGCAGTTTCTGTTTGGACACCGTGGTGAGCTCAGCAGCAGTGGCAACGATGCAGAGCTCTCCAGCAGAGATGGCCGTGCAATCCAATAGAAAGAGGGCCCCAGCATGGACGGATCGGGAAGTCTTGGATCTCATCGCAGTGTGGGGCGATGAGTCCGTGCTTTCAGAGCTGCGCTCCAAAAGACGGAATGCAAAGATCTATGAGAAGATCTCTAAAGCCATGGCAGAGAGAGGCTACAGCCGGGATGCAACGCAGTGCCGCGTGAAAATCAAGGAGCTGAGACAAGGCTACCAGAAGACCAAAGAGGCAAACGGACGCTCTGGATCCCAGCCCCACACATCCCGTTTCTACGAGGCACTGCATTCCATCCTAGGTGCGGCCGCCACCACTACCCCACCAGTGACCGTGGACTCTGAGGATGGGATATTGTCCGCGACCGGTTCCTCAGCGGACGGGGAAGAGGAGGAAGGAGATGAGGAGGACGAGGCAGTAGACAGCGCTTACAACGCTGATTTGCCCGACAGCCAGGAGCTCTTCATCACCCTGACAGAGATCCCCTACCAACCCTCCCCAGCCGTTACCCCAGACACAGATTCAGGGGAAGGATCAAGCTGTAAGTGTTTTAAATATCTAAATATTTATTTACAACATAACTGGCGTATTTAAAATATTAACATTAGCTAAAGTGCTTTAAAACATGTAAACATTTATTTGCAACAAAACAGGAAGATTGAAAATATGAACAGTGGGTAAAGTGCTTCAAAACATGTAAACAGGAAAGTCAAACAAAAGGGGAATCAGTGCAAAGTGTATCATGATTTGTCTTTTTTTGGGCGCCTCAATATATAGTCCGAACCATTTTCAAAAAATTGCACAATGTCCGCTTCATGATTATAGTGCCCAAAACCCTGCAGTCATTTGTCCCTCCAAGGGCACCTAAGCCAGGAACTGGTCAATGTAACCGGGGATAGAGGCGAGATCCTCCGGGGAGAACTCCTCATACACCTCCTGCAGGTGTTTTTCCAGCCTCATCAGCAGGTTCCTGGGCAGGGAGAGCTTATTAGGCCCCCCGTGGTAGGACACGTTTCCCTGCCACAACGCCAGCAGGTACTCCGGGATCATGGCCTTGCACAGCAGTGCAGCAAATGGCCCCGGTTTCTGCAGGCTGTCCCGTAGCATCTTCTCCTTCTGGCTCTCGGAGACCTTCAGGAGGGTGATGTCAGGCATGACTCCCTGCTGTGAATTAGGTAGGGGAAAGTTAGTATTGGGACTGCTTGCTCGTCCCTTTACAGAACTGCAACCGCCGGTTTACAGCCACGCGGTTTACAGCCGCGAGGGGGTGGGACAGGGCCAGAGTTCATGCTTGCAGGATTGCTGCCAGCAGAGACTCGCATTGCTTTCTATGTGAAAGGAGGCCAGTGCCACTCTTAAAGTTTTAAGCGGCCACAAGTCTACGGCTTACCATGTTTGCCATCTAGACAAAGTCCGGTGTCCTGCCCTGCTCCTCAGCTCGCCACAGCAAGACCGCAGGCACTGTAGGCGAGGGCCGAAAATTCGACCTTGTCCTCAGTGCGCGTGTGATAGGTGCTCTGCATGGTCTTGTTCACGGAGCAAGACTATGTTCTCTGTTCACAGATACATTGATCTGTCTCAGGAATTCACTCCCTTTTTCCAATTCCCACAGCCACATCTGCCCAGAGGCTAGCGCACATTAGGAGGAGGAAGAAGAGGACACGGGAAGACATGTTTGCTGAACTAATGGAATGCTCCCGAGCACAGGCAGCCCAGCAGACACAGTGGAGGGAGAACTTGTCCCAAATGCACCGGGCAAACATGGAACGGGAGGAGAGGTGGCGACAGGAGGACAGGCAGGCTACTCAAACGCTGCTTGGACTAATGAGGGAGCAAACGGACACGCTCCGCCGCCTTGTGGATGTTCTGCAGGACCGGAGGCAGGAGGAGAGAGCCCCGCTGCAGTCTCTCTGTAACTGCCCTGCCCCGCCACCAAGTCCCATACCCCCCTCACCCAAAGTCCAAACACGGAGGGGTGGAAGGGGCCGTGAAAAATTTCACTCCACCCCTGCGGACTGCTCTACCACTAGAAGGCTCTCATTCCCCAAAATTTGAAAAGTCCTTTCCTACCCGCCTCACACAAGGCCCCGTCCAAGTTTCACCCCCCCGTTCCATGTGCGGTTGTTAATAAAGAATACGTTTCTGTTCATTTCTGTTTCCATCCTCTTCTTTTGGAGGGGAGTCTATCTGAAGGGGGGGGAAGGGGCTTGGTCATTGGACAGGACAGTCACCTTTAGCAGGGGGCAGGTGCAGCAGCAGGGCACATATACAGTGCAGTGACTAGTTATCCTGGTTAGTCTGGGAGGTGGTTTTCATGTTTTGTGTGGTGGGGGCGGTGGTGTTGCTCTCTGACTTGGTGGCGGGGGAGGGCAGTTACAGATCTTATGCAGCGGTCCTTACCCTGCATCACAGAGCCGCGCAGCAGGGGATCTGTAACCCTCCTCCCCCTGCAAGACAGTCACATAGCCGACATATACACGCAGTCCCGGCCAGGAGGGCTGGCAGGCTCCGTTGAAACAACCAGTCCACCACCGCGGAGCCTGTCATTCCTGGAGTTTAGAAGCATCATTTGCATCACAACCCTAAACCCGCCCCCCGCCACAGTCTGCGTCCCAGGTTTAAAACATTCCCGCGAAAACAGTAATAAAGACAACGGTGTCCATGAACAAAACAGAACAGATTTTATTTTTTGGGAAGGGGGCGAAGGGGGTATGTAAGTGGAGAGGATAGTCGACGGCAACTGGGTAAAGAAACGGGGGCAAGTTCTGCCTCTGTGTCCACAAACTTAAAAGTCACTGGGTACCCTGCTCAGCCTTGAAACTGGCTTTCAAAGCCTCCCGGATGCACAGCGCGTCCCGCTGGGCTCTTCTAATCGCCCGGCTGTCTGGCTGGGCGTAATCAGCAGCCAGGCTATTTGCCTCAACCTCCCACCCCGCCATAAAGGTCTCCCCCTTGCTCTCACACAGATTGTGGAGCACACAGCAAGCTGCAATAACGATGGGGATATTGGTTTCGCTGAGATCACAGCGAGTGAGTAAGCTTCTCCATCTCCCTTTGAGACGGCCAAAAGCACACTCCACCACCATTCTGCACTTGCTCAGCCGGTAGTTGAAGAGTTCTTTTTCTGTGTCCAGGGCGCCAGTATAGGGCTTCATGAGCCAGGGCATTAGCGGGTAGGCTGGGTCCCCGAGGATCACTGTAGGCATCTCCACATCCCCAACAGTTATCTTGTGGTCCGGGAAGTAAATACCTTCCTGCAGCCGTCTAAACAGACCAGAGTTCCTGAACACGCGAGCGTCATGAACCTTGCCCGGCCATCCGACGTAGATGTTTGTAAACCGTCCCCGATGGTCCACCAGTGCTTGCAGCACCATTGAAAAGTA